CCCCGGGGCCGTACGTGTTAACCGCGGGTAAGGGAAGGCTGATTTTGAATGGGCAAGGTTGAGCATGGGCAGTGGGTCATTACCCTAAAACTTCGGCCTCCGAATTCCGTGGTCCCCGAGATATTAACTTACCCGTAAAAAACTTTCACAGGGCCGTACGCGTTACCCGCGGGTACGAACTTACCCGTAAAAAACTTTCACAGGGCCGTACGCGTTACCCGCGGGTACGGGGAAGCTGAATTTTAAATTTGCGGTGTAGGTGGGGAACGTTCCCCTAAATTTTCAGCTTCCTAGCTTTTGTGGTTCCCGAGTTGAAAGTTGCGGTGGGGAACGTTACCCTAAATTTTCAGCTTCCTAGCTTTTGTGGTTCCCGAGTTGAAAGTTGCGGACAGTCACACGTGGGTGGGGAACATTACCCTAAATTTTCAGCTTCCTAGCTTTTGTGGTTCTCGAGTTGAAAGTTGCGGACACCCCTTAAATTTTCAGCTTCCTAGCTTTTGTGGTTCCCGAGTTGAAAGTTGCGGACAAGTTGCTGCGTTAAATTTTCAGCTTCATAGCTTTTGTGGTTCCCGAGTTGAAAGTTGCGGACAAGTTGCTGCGGGAAACGTTACCCTAAATTTCCAGCTTCCTAGCTTTTGTGGTTCCCGAGTTGAAAGTTGCGGACAAGTTGCTGCGGACACAAACGCATACAACAAACACACAACAGACAACCCCGTAACAATATGCGTTTTGTACTGCTGTTACGCAGCACAAAACGCATAAAAAGAAGCATGATTTTTGAGACAGAAAGATTCGTTCAATTTATTGCTGGAATAAGTTTTTGGCAGTTTTCCAACAAAACCAGTGCAACAAATCCTGACCATTTAAACCGCAAAAGAGAGAAAACAAACAGGGAAAAGGTGAGGGAGACAAAAGGATGAAAGCACGGACCACGGCAGGAAGAATGGAGAAGATCAGGTAATTTTTTATTCAAATTCAAAGCAAACAGGAATCGATCAAAAACCTCAATGATATACAGCTTGAAAGATCCCTTAATAGTGAAGAGACAACCAAACATTTTGAAAGCAAACAGTAAAACTTCTCCCAAATTATCTCCTACCCTGCACTTTTGTCCTGCCATTCACAGTTGCTCTGGGGAAACCCATACATAAGACAGAAAAGCCGCCAAAAATTGATCCGATAAGTCCTCGAGC